TTTCATTTGAAGGGGATTTGTTCTGCTTCTCATGGGGGCCCATGCTGAAAAATGTCTGATCGAGCACAGAACTTGGTCAACACTTTTCCTGCAGCAGGCTTGTCTTCTGAGATGATCTGCAGAAGCAGATTATACTTGGATTATTCTCCAAATAATCTAGCAAAAATGGTCAACTACTCAGGTACCATTATGGAAGTTTTTCAGTCTTCCGTTTTATTTCTCTCTAATTAAAAAAAAATGTATTTCTTGAGGCTCAGCTAATCAGATGCCTAATCCTGTGTAGTGATGAGGTGAGCAGGCCTGCTTTTCATCCCGCCCGGCTCCCGCTTGACTAGCTTTACACCCGAAATAACAACACACAAACTGTATTCATTTAAACACTGCCTGGCCCATTATCTGTAGCCTCTTATTGACTAACTCTTACATATTGATCTAACCCATTTCTAATAATCTGTGTAGCACCACGAGGTTGTGGCTACCGGGAAAGATTCTAACCCACGTCCATCTCGGAGAGGAGAGCCATGGCGTCTGCCTGCCTCTGCTTTCTTTTTCCCACAATTCTGTTCTGTCTTCCCCGCCTACCTATGTTCTGACCTATCAGGCCAAGCAGTTTTCTTTATTAATTAACCAGTGAAAGCAACAGATAGATAGAAGACCCTCCTACATCAATCCTGTGTCGTCTTCTGGTCAGGATCATTTTTCAGAGTAGGTTGAAAAATAAAATTTTAATATTTTGTTGTCCATAAAGTTTTATTAAAACACAGTTACATCAGATCTGGTGGTGCACCTGGGAGATAGAGCCAGGCAGATCTGTTTAATTCAAGGTCTACCTGGTCTACATAGTAAGTTTTAGGCCAGCCAGGGCTATAAGGTAAGACCCTATTTCAAAAACAATAAAAACCCAAAGCCACAATGCAGTTGGAACGTCCATCTTCATCTCATCTAGATATGGGTCTAGAGTTGGGATAGAAATTGTGGCCTTTGAAGCCAAAGCTTATTCTTGGTTTGGTTCTGCCTGGTCCTTTTACATAGAAAGTCTCTGGACTTTTACCTGGCAGTAGTCACATGTATGATGCTGTATGGTATTGCAGTGTGTGTGTGTTTCCTTTTTTCCCCTCTCTCTCTGCCTTTCTTTTTGAGATAGGATCTCACTCTTTAGCTCTAGTTGTCCTAGAACTCTCTGTGAAGATCAGAGATCTGCTTGCCTCTGCCTCCTGAGTACTGGGCCGCTTGTCTTTAACGGTGCACTTCTGTGTGTCGTTGACAGAGCAGCTTACCCTAGTGACTCCTCTAGATGTAGCTCCTTCTGCTCTCAGTACCAACCTCTTTTTCTCTTGCGTAGTAATGCTCAGAGGGTGAAAACTTGGTTTTCTTACCTCCTGATCATCAGTCCAAGATTGAAAAACTAACTGATGTGTAGGTGATAGATATGTGCATATACATATATATGTATGTGTATAAAAAGAAATGTATGTATTATTCTGTGCAATAAGCCATATACATTTCTGTAGCTGTATGATTTACTGTACATATGTTGCCGTTTGTTGGAAGAAATGGGCTCACACCGTTCCAGAGGCTGAGAGATCCAGGTTTTGTACTGGGATGTTGTCATTAGCAGTCCAGCAGAGCTGGTGGTGCAACCTGCTTATGCACCATTCTCCCAGTGTAAAGACAGGCAGAGCGCATCGTCCCCCTATTAGAAAAAGCAGTGTTTCTTCCTCTACTCAGATTCCAGGATAAATGCAAAAGATGTGTCCTCAGAAAGTATTGGGAGTTCCTGCCAAAAAATGAGTTTTGCAACAGTTTCCAGGTGGGTGTCCTCCCATCTGCTTGGAGACAGTGTCAGGTCTCCTGGGTTGAGGGCTTAGTTTCTAGACTACCTCCCCCACTTCAGATGCCATTTACAAGTCCAGGCTGCTGTTTTACATGCGGGTCTGCTGGACCAGTTATAAACTGGGACCTCTGCAACCCCTCCCTGAGGCTCTAGTAATCTGAGTGGTTTATACGTAATATTCACGGCATTAGAGGCTGTTAGAATCTACGCTGGCGAACAGATGTAGAGGCTGTGGTGTGGGAAGCAGAGACAGAGTTCTCGGCCATCTTTTGTTGTACCCGTACCCCAGGAGCCCCAGCATTGGGCCTTGTGGAAGCCTTCGGGGCCCTGTCCTGGGGTTTTGTGAGAATTAATAACATAGTCATGACTGAAGCATGGACCTTCATGTGTGGAAATGTGGTTGACAAAAAGGAAATGAACTAGTGCCAGTAGACTGTATGGGGTTCCCCCCCACCCATTCATCTTGGCCTCTGCCGCATCCTCAGGCCTGAGGAGGATCTTCTATCAGACAAAGCTGCACAGAAGAGTTATTTGTAGCTAGCATCAACACCGAAAGGTAGATTAGGTTTCTGTCTCTTGCAAGGGGGAAGTTATCTAGACTAAGAAATAACTAGATAGTTCTTACTCCCTGCCTAATGGTTTGGGGTCAGGAACTATGGTCGCTCACAGATACAAGGAGGTACTTATTAGCACCCAGGGGGCCTGGATAGGAGCCCCACTGAGGAAGGCACTTTGCTTCCCTCGTTCTAGATTCGATTGCTAACCATCCAGGGAGGTCCTTCCAGCACACCCTGAATGGTGCTTGCTTACAGACAGCCTGTAGCCCTGTCAGGTGGCCGCATGCAATTCCCAGTCACAGACAGGTGTTTTTGTAAATCTCTTGAAAAGCTCCTGCTCCCCGGGGGGCTCGAAAGGTAGCTCAGGGGTTAAGAGTAGTTGTTCTTACAGAGGAAGAGACCTGGTCAGTCGTCCTCATCAACTTAGACCATGAAACCCATTATGGACAAGTTCAACAGAACCGCCGTATACGGGCAGCCCATGTTTGCTTCAGCATTGCCAGGGTATAAATTTCATTTCAATCTCATATTTTCTTTTGGCTGGATTAATTTTATTTTTAGTAGTTTGCTACATTATTTATTTGTATGCATGTTTTCTTGCATTATTTTTGTCTTGAGGTGGTAGTGGCATTTCCAACACTCAAACTTAAGTCAGTTTGACAAACTGTCAAATCTCTGGAGTGACTAGTTTGCAGCAGAGATCCTCAATTCCCAGATCAATTTGTAAAAGCCAATTTGATTGACATGGTATTTGTTCACAAACTGGTATACATGAGTACATCAGTGTGCCGGAGGAGAAATGGAACAGGCTTTGTTTGTGAGTGTCCCTGCTCTTCCCAGGTCAGCAGACAAACCCCTCTTCCTCCCTTGTAAGGCCACCCCAATACCCAGGGCAGCTGGAGAGCTGGTGGGAAGAGATCGGAAAAACAGCCCTTCTTGATAACTGTTTTTCTGACCTGTTTCTTCAATACAGGACAGTATTGTAATTTAGACTTCATTTAGACTTCATTTCTCCGGAAGAAAGATTTGCGCTTTTATTACTGTTGGTTCTTGTTTTGATGAATTCTAGACAGGTTCTCCATATTCACATAGCAGCCCAATTTTGAGTAACAAAATTGTATTAAATTGGACAAAGTCCTGTTGTTGGGTTAAAGGAAGTGTTGAAGCAAGGACAGTCAGATAAGTGGGGTTGGCCCCTCCTAGTTCCTGCTTTAGGCTCCCCTTTTCTCTAGGCCACTGCTCCTCTCGGGGGGCAGTGTGGCCCTCCTTGCATTGACCTTCAGGTTTAGCATCTTTGTCTATCTAAAACGCCGAGACTTGTTTTGATCTAGCTTTACACTTTGGAACGATGAATTTCTTCAGTATCCTGTCTTGAATATTTACATGTTCAAGAATATTCTTAATTACTAATATTCTAGTTTTGGCAATTCTGTTTTCTGTATCTCTACCTCTTTCTAAGTGCGCAGATTAGCATTCTGAGCTTTTAGCCCAGGCCTTTTTATTCCTTCAGTGTTGTGTTCATTGCCTCTGAACTCGATTGCCTGAAGTCTTCATGAGCTGTTTCTTCCACTGCCCTAGATTGTAATAAGTCCTCAGATGCTCTCTAAACAGCCAGGCTTGGTTTAGAATTAGCACATCATAAACACATGCCATACGTTGCCCTCAAATCTCTCTCAATACTCCTGCTCTTCGGATTTTCACTTTTGCATCATTAAAGAAGCAGGAAAGTTAATTAAGGAAATCAAGTAAAGATGTGTTAATGACTGAGGCACTTTGATGGGATTTTAATATAGAAATTTTCCTAAATGTTAATTCCCTACGATATTTAAATGGAAAACAATTGTATTCACAAATACAGTTGCTGCCATGAGCCGCTGTCTGTGATGAGCTCAGGAGCAGAATTGCTGGCAGGAGCAAGCGGGCTACTGCTGACTGTAATTATGCAGGTGTGGTCTCCCCCTGGAACAGAAGCTGAAGTAGAACAGCAGGTGTCTGGTACCCAACTGCTTATCACATTTTCAAAGACATTTTCCTAGGCCACACTCAGATAGGAGTGGAATTCTTTTGGCATATGAAAGGGCAGGGAAGGGCGTGTGTGTGTGTGTGTGTGTGTGTGTGTGTGTGTGTGTGTGTGTGTG